CATATCCGTTCCGTGGATCCGCTCCCGCATTTTAACCTAATTGTGACATGCTTCACAATAACAAGTCTCATTGACCTTTGACTTTTCCCAGTGTCACGTCTATTTTCAGCTTTTCGCATGTGTTGAATAATATCACTTCAGAGTTTAGATTTCAATAGTTTCACAGTTAAGCAGTGTTTAATAATGCAGCTTTGACAAGCTTTGAACAGTTCTGTGTACAGAATACTACAGATTGATTCTCGTAAGATCTGGTAGAGTTATCGTTGCACTGAACAATTGACAACGGCGTTGTGCTAGACAGTAAACAAAGACAAAGCCCGTGACGGTACACGTTGGCTACATGTACCTCCTTGCTTTTTTTTTTTCTATTGCATAAAGCTGTCTGCTTGTTGGCGAGCCAAGCGATTGGCGATAACACGTTGGCGATAACGCATTGGCTATCTCCTCGTCTTTCTTATTTAAATAAGGAGCTCTGACTCAACTGATTTCTTTGGTCTCGCAAGTTATTTTCTTCGTAAATGCCGTACAAACGTTTACCCGCTTCTGTTTAATAGTTGTTTCGCTCTTTGTACTGAGCGTAGCCATCTATTCTGTGATGTAGCACCTTATACAGTCAATGACAATGTATAATGAATACACGGTCTAAATAATATCGATGGGCACTTAATTGGGCTATTCCATTTAATATCCGTACCCCCCCTGTCGAGGATACATGTTTTTCATTGTCATACCCCTGAAGAATTCCAAGCTCAAAACTGTTTACCCCTGAAGAATTCCAAAATTCCAAGCTCAAAACTCTTTACCCCTGAAGAATTCCAAGCTCAAAACCTTTTACCCCTGAAGAATTCCAAGCTCAAAACCCTTTACCCCTGAAGAATTTCAAGCTCAAAACCTTTTACCCCTGCAGAATTCCAAGCTCAAACCCCTTCACCCCTGAAGAATTCCAAGCTCTGAAAAATTTCAATCTCAAACCTCTTTACCCCTGAAGAATTCCAAGCTCAAAACCCTTTACCCCTGAAGAATTCCAAGCTCAAAACCATTTACCCCTGAAGAATTCCAAACACAAAACACTTTACCCCTGAAGAATTCCAAGCTCAAAACACTTTACCCCTGAAGAATTCCAAGCTCAAAACCCTTTACCCCTGAAGAATTCCAGGGATCCTCGACAGGGGGGGTACGGATATTAAATGGAATAGCCCATTGAATACCGGTAATGCACAGCATAATAGTATTCTTGCGTAGAATCTCAAAGGGCAAAGATTTTCTCAATATTCATGTCTGAAATATTCATATACTTGAAAACAACACTGTCTCGCTTCTGCCTACGTATACTGTACCTCTGTATAACGAGTATGCCGTGAAAATAATATCGGCACTCAATCGAATGCCTACAATCTCAAAGACTTTCTCCTTATTTACGTCTGAAATGTTTATACATTTGAAAACAACACTGTCGCTCCTTCCTAGCTCTGTATATTAATAAATTTACCGTCCACATACAGTATATCAGTACTTGATTGAAAGACCGTCATGCATAACATAAATTTATATATTGCGTAGATTCTCAAAGATTTACTAATATTCACGTCTGAAATGTTTAAATTTATACATTTGAAAACAACACTGTCGCTCCTTCCTAGCATCGTGATCGTGATCTACGGCTTCAGAGCGCATGCGCATTTGCCCTGCTATAGAAAAATCGGGTGTTCCGGGGGGAAAGATCCTTTACACAACATGAGAAGCGAATGTTCTGAAATTACAAAAACTTACAATAACGACAACGATTCCTCGAACTTTTTGTGAACTTGGCAAAAGGACAAAAGAATATTTAAAGAAAATAAATAAAATTGCTTAAATAACCTTCAAAGCACTGACTAAGTACAATAAATCACTGCGAACATAAATCGTATACACCCCCCGGAAAGTTTACTCTATGATTGACTGACTGATTCGTGTGAATTCGCCAGCCATCACAATAGTGTGAAGTGAAACTTCACACTAAAAAGAAAATGAACAGAGCTCATTACACAATAAACCGTGTGTACACCATACAAATAATAGATCTGGGACCTCGCAAATATGTCGGCTGAAAGCAATTTCGTCGGCGATTTTTCTCCTCTTGGTGGATGTGACTGAATGAGTGACATGCAAAAGAGTTAGAAATGTATAGGTCCAAAACGCGATTCCATACTTTTGGCTGCGAATTCACTCATTCGCATTTGTCAGGAGGAGAAAATTGTCGACAAAATTGCTAGTGTGAACCAGGCTTAAAGGAGGCGTCTGCTTGTAGGGGTTATAATAAAAGTGTTTTATTAACATTGGACCAAGAGGTTTGTGTCCGCTTAAAATGAGTGTCCGCTTAAGGGTCGACTGTATGATTATAATTTACATGACGTAGATATAGCTGCAAACAAGAAGTTCTTACCAGTATTATTATCAAAGAAACGTATATATCTATCTTCATGTGCAGTAACAGTTACACCCATCGTTGGATGACAGGCTACTTTATTTATTTGAGTTGCTGGCGTATTATCTAAAAAGGAATATTACTGGTTCATAAAGTGGATTGAAGAAGGCGTTACAAGGGTGCATATACGGTGGTCAACTTTAAGTATAAAGAAGTTCAATCATCCGGCCTATGAGAAGAATGAAGCCAAGGTGGTGAAACGACGGTGCTTAGGGTATAGTCCTTCTTGCGGGTCTCATATAAAATATCTTTATAGCTGTGTGAGTAAAACTGATACTAACCATACGTTCGATTACTCTCCAACGCGACAACCTCAGCCCCAGTTTCAGTGTCAATTATTGAACACATTGATGTCGTTGTAGAGACAACGAATTGATTTGGTTCATTACGAACAAAATCTATAGACGTTGGTATACCTTGATCTGAAATAGGACACAAGGATATAGATTCATTAGAACAACGCGTCATCAACATAGTATTAATTTAACAAAACATAGTATTAATTTACCATATATCATATCATACCACACTAGACACCACACTAGACACCACACTAGACACCACCATACCACGTACCACACCAAACAATATCACACCACACATCCCATCACCATGCCATGATATCATGCCGCAAATAACATACTACCATACCATACCATACCACACCACACCACACCACACCACACCACACCACACCACACCAAAACATACCATACCACACAACACCATGCCATGACATACCATGATACCATACCACAAATACATACCACACTACATCAAACCATACCACACCATACCAGGATACCATACCATATACTATACCATACCTTTAGTAGCAGGGTACGTATTTACTAATGGTACTTTAATTGTTGGATTCCATATCCTACAAGTACCATCAGCTGAACAAGACAGTAAATAATTTTGTTGGTAATGAACAGCTAAATCCCAGACTGCATTCGTGTGACCCATCAGTACATTACCAACTGTATCAGCATCTATAGAAAAAAATCATCATTCAGAAAAATTGTTCAATAACGTCATTAACGATCCATCCCCTAAGATTGGAGATCTATTTCCTTCAAGGTATGAAGAATCTTACAGCTTTAGGGTCAAAAGATTTTTTAATAACTTTCGTACAGTTACTGATAGATATCACAAGACATTTCTTCCTGTCATGTGTAGGCTATATCGTTAGCCAGACGTGTAACTTTACACTTGCCCGCGGCAAGTGAATATCATGACGAGCAGGTAAACGTTTTATAACTGTGGTTTTACCTAGGTAGGGATATAAATTAAGGGGACAACATGTCGACCCGTTCTCCCACTGCTCTATATGGCTATGTTATACTGCCTCAGATCTAGCTTTAGCCCATAAAAAAAATTGAATCAAGTACATGCACGGCATTTACAATTGCCCGGGGCAAGTAAAATCATGACGGGCAAGTAAACGTTTTACTTAGGTAGGGGTATAAATTAATTTAAGGGAGATTTAAGTTAATTTAATGATAGACTTAATAGATCTAATCACTTTTCTATCTTGTTTGCCATCTTTAAGTTTATGTTTTCATTGTCGGGTAAATTTGTTATACTATGTACTTGATTCAAATTTTTTTGTGGGCTAAAGCTAGATCCGAGGCAGTATAACATAGCCAAATAGAGCAGTGGGAGAACTGGTCGAACGAATTTCTATACAGTTAAAAGGTTAAAAAGTTCAATATTGGAAAGCTAACAGTGGTGTAACTTTACTTTTCTGAAGTTGGACATGAAAATTAGTTGCCCTGAATAAAATTCACTTGCCATCAGACAACGGCCACTGGGGTCACTGCATGTTTACTAAATTTTAGATATCTTAATTGTAATTTTTTATTTTTTTGAAATTTGTAAATCACGCAATTCAGCTTTGGGCTGCGATGTGAATATCTTAATAAATCTATCTGTCTAAAAGATTTGACAATCAAAAGTTCAATGCTTCTCCGCATTCTGCCCTGAAGTAGCCTGAGTGTCAGGCCTAGTTTTCCCTTCCTTAAATGCGGGTGGATGCAAGGGAAGAGGTCCTGACACAAATCCCTGTCTGGCCGCATGTAAAAAACAAAATCTGGCTTTTAACCTGATTGGTCTATATCAGACCAAAAAATTCAATCTGTCTTTTGACTCTAGTTTTGACTGGTTAGCGAACAGGCTGCGAGGGAGACTAGCTCTGAAGAAACATCGTATAATAAATCGTTCAGAACAAAACGTACCAAACTGCCCATAAGGATCAATTTCTAACGATGGCAAATTCCAACATCGTATAGTACCATCAGCACTTGCTGTGTAACACGTGTCTCCCGATGGATTTACTTCTATTGATAAAATGGCCCCGCTATAAAAGAGAAGTCGTACTAAGTTCACGCTGTGAGAGGTATACACGTACAACAGCAAACAAACAAACATACCTATGACCTCTAAAGGAATGTATTGGTTCGATTTCAACAGCATTGCCCCTGAAAATTCAAAACAAACGAAAGTTTTAACTTGTATAATTCCTTACTCAAGCGCTTACATGTATTGCTATATGGATTAAGTTCCTTTAGTTCTAAAAGAAGCTTGGACCGTGTGTCAGGGCAGCATAACTGAAAGTTGAAGCTTGTATGGTACGATAGGGTAAGCAAGGTGCGGTGTGGTATGTTATGGTGTAGTGTAATTCTGATATTATATGGTGTGGTATGGTTTGAAATGGTATGTAGTGGTATGGTATGGTATGCAGTGGTATGGTAGGCTGTGTATGGTATATGGTATGGTATAATATGGTATGATGCTATTGGTATGGTATGGTATGGTATGCTATGCTATGCTATGCTATGCTATGCTATGCTATATGTATGTTTTGCTTACTTGACAAGTTTCTTGAGTACAGTTAGTGTTTTTCATAAAATATTTATACATAAGATGAATAATACTTAGTACGTACTTCCTCGTAGGTAAAGTTTTATTTAAGTTCCATAACTTGACAGTGTGATCTTCGGAACCAGTGAGAACAGCAGTCTCAAAAGGATGGAAACATATCGCACGAACCGTGTCGAAATGACTGCAAAACAAATATGTACATTATTACTTTACTCAACACAAAATGAAACGAGTGTAAAATAAAGTGAGTGAAAAAAATGCATTATTTTTTCTTACCTTCTTAACGTGAACTTTGGATTCCAAGTTCTTCTTATTTCGTCTTTATTTGAAACCTAAAAGTGAGTTTTCATGTCTAGTCCAATCTCGTCTCGCCCACACATAACCTGCGAACGGGCATGCTCTAGGTACGAGAATGTTGCTAGTCTTGACTAGCCCTGGCCCAGTTCTATCTGCCATTATGCCGTTACATTAGTTCAAAAGCAAAATATAAATTCAGGTATTGGCGTTGCAGATTGTCAACAATGCATAAGAAAGAGCACGACCTCAGCAGACCAGAACGCCTACAGGCAGGTTTCGACAATCGACACGAGGCAAGATAAGGCAAGTCCTATCGTATTATGCGTCACAGGTTCGACATGGGTTTAGACGTCCTGCTTTTCATGCACCGAACCTAATGCATACATTCTTTTAATGTACATTATTATGATATATTAGCAATTTAGCACTGAAATTTCTAATATAGTGTACTTGTATTTTGGTACGGTACGATTAACTTCGACGTCTAAAACTCTAAATCAGTCGCTGAAATTGTGCCGTATTTAATTTGATTAGGTTCGGCGCATGAAAAGTTCTTCGTCTAAACCGCGCCTAAGAAAAAATAACAATTTTCACATACGTCATAACTTAAGGGATCAGCTTCGTTTGAAACCGTGATTCCAGCCAGGTCACCAAGCCCTAAACCATCATCAACGTTATCTCGCACGGCGTTTCCTCCCGGCATCGCTTCATTCACGTCGTTATTTGCGGGCGGAATGGCATTTCTTTCAATGGTTATGTTCCCAATAGGCGGGACTTCAGCTAGAGCTCTACCTCCGGACATTTTGATGGGAAGTGGGCCAACTATACCGGGGGGTTGGGCGGGGACAGCATCGTCTTCTCCGTTTAGATTCGCTAACATTGCTTGGAGAGCACCTCTTGGAGGACCTTGAATAACGAAATTTATGTGAGTAATCATTACATCGCCATTTTATGAAACTATTTAGTACCAAGGGCAGTGG